GAGAGACTCGTATCCTCGGGGTGGCTTATGAAGTGTTCTCTTCTGCTGGGAAATCACACCACAAAGAAACTGCGTGCCCATTGGTGCTGAGTTAATTATCAATTAAAGGCGTCTCCTATTCTGTGATTCATGTTGGCCACAGTGATACTGGGGTCCCAGGGCACTCATCTAGGTTCATGGGGTTTTTTTACACCTACATGATGAAACTTGTTATCCTTCCGCCTCTTGGCCTGCCCACTGTTCCTTCTGACGCTCCCACAGTCCTTTTTTCTTCTGAGCTGCTGTCGTCTGCGTGGGATCAGCAGAGTTCCTAATTGTCCTGAGGGCGTCGGAGGAGCTGGGGAGGCCTGCCAGGAGAAGCAGTATCCTGCAGCGCCAGGCCCCAGGTGTGGAATCTGCTCCCCAGCCCCCGCATCTGCCCCACAGCCCCCTGTGAGATGAACAGGGCAAGCCCAGGACTCCTAATGGGCAAGTCAGGCAGCAGCCGGGGCAGAGGTGCCTCCAGCCCAGGTCTGCTCCTTTGCAGCCGACCTTTCCCCGGATCCCTGCGCGTCAGCCCTGGTGGGGCCAACTGGACCGGGCTTCAGAGGTATCTAGATCCAGCCTGCTGCCTCTTGTCTGCTGTGTTTGTCCTCCCTCATCCTCCTCTCCTCTTCCCCGTGTTGCCAGCTTCATTTCTGCCTTTCAGTCCCAGCTTGGGTGTCTTCTTGAGGAAACCTGCTTGGACAATCCCCAGCCCCCGGGCTGGTCAGGTGACTGCTTTCCCTTAGTGTTCCCACGTGAGGATTCGAGAAGGTATTTCACCAGAAGCATGGAGCACAGTGCCTGGCTCAGGCAAGACCTTTAACTCAACAAGTATTTATGGAGGGCCTTCCCTGTGCTGGTTGCTGGGGGAATATAAACTTGAAAGAGACATAGTTCTGGCCCTCTGGACATTTGGGTTGGCGAGTTGATAAACTGTGGACACCTCTGCTTACATGTACTGTAGTGTGAGCTAGGAGGGCAGCAAGAACCGGGTGGGCTTATAGAAGGGGGATGTCCAAACTACTTGGGAATTCGGGGTGGGCTTCCTGGAGGAGGTGACCCCTGGGATGAGTTATGGAGTTGGCCAGATCTGGGAAACAGAGGTTGGGGTGAGGTTAGAGGCATAAGCAAGAGGAGGGAAACATCCTGAAAAGCATCCTGTGGGAATGGGGGCAGCTCTGAGCAGTTCAGGACAATGAGAACCAAGGTAGGGGAGGGGACGTAGGGAGATGGAGCTGGGGAGACGTCTCACCCTGTGGCCTCTATGCATCAGAACTTCCCCTGATTGTCTGGTATCTGGAGGACCCTTCAAAAGACCCCACATGGACTGACGCTGTGTCCTGGTGACTCAGGAAGGTGCGAAACGGTGGAAGGTAATCTCAACAGCTAGTGGGCGAGGTTGACAGGCCCAGATGCCAGAGGAAGCAGCAGATGAAAACTTTCTGGATGGAAGGTTTCTTTACCTGTGGCTTTCAAACCATTGCTTCCTTGAGTTGTGGGTGGTTCCTATCTTAGTCTGTTGGGCTGCTAAATAAAAATACCATAAACTGGCTGGCTTATAAACAACGGAAGTTTATTTCTCACAGTTCTCGAGACTGGGTAGTCTAAGATCAAAGCACTGGCAGATTTGGTGTCTAGTGAGAGCCCACTTCCTAGAAGGCGTCTTTTTGCTGTAACCTCACATGGCAGAAATGGGGGTGGGGGAGATCTTTGGGGTCTCTTTTATAAGGGCACTAATCCCATTCATGAGGGCTCCACCCTCTTGACCATATCACTCCCAAAGGCCTCACCTCCAAATACCATCACCTTGGCAGTTAGGATTCAACATGTGAATCTGGGGGGACATAAACATTCAGTTTATAGCAGTTCCCAGGCGGCAGCCCCAACAAGCCTAACCCCGTGTGCTCTCAGATAAGCCAGCAAACTGTGGGGACTCTGGGATGTGCAGGGACCCATGCCCCTCTGTCCCTGTGTCACTCATAATATTATCATGTCACCTTAGCTTCGCTTTTCCCTGGCCCAGACTCAAAGGGAGTGTGCCCACAGGCATGGCCAAGGGGCCAGAACCTGGTACCACTTTATAACAGAGCAGAGTAAAGGATTGGGGGGTGCCACACAGCCGGAAGGGCTGGGTCATTGACATACTGCCTTAGGACATCTAGTTTTCATCATTCTCTTGATCTGGCACAAATCCTCCCATGGTAAATGACCTCTGGACACCAGAGCTATGTATTTAGCAGTTCTGGGGCCTTCTAGCTGTTAGGAAGAAAGTGGCTCTAGGACCAGTCAAAGGGCTAATTTGAGTTGGTGAAGGGCCAACTCTAGCTCTGTGGTTGTGGTTTTATCATAAGTAATGAACAAAAATAATGCTTATTGAAAAAAAGTATATCTAGACATTATAGAAATATGCATATATTTCTATACCTATAGAATATATGTAACCTATGCTTACTGTTAATCCATATCTACATATGTACGTGCGTGGATTTGTAAAACAATATAGACAGTTTTAGGAAAACAAGTGAAAATACTTCACACCCCATTCTACCCATTCCCCAAAGGCATTGTGATGGATGTCCTTGTAGACATTTTTCTGCTCATTTACATAGTAAGAGTGCCTGTATATTCATAACATTTATGGTTAATTTTTTCTTTCCACCAAAAGGTTTATATAAATATCCAGTGACTTGGTTTATTCACTGCATTTATCTTTGATTCTTTTCCATTCTTTTTAACTGTGGCAGAGTATTCCACTGTGGATGTAACCTTCTGTTCTGCTGATGAAAGATATTTAGGTCATTTCCCTTTTTTTTTATTGTTGTCAAAAACAGCACTGCAGGGCTTCCCTGGTGGCGCAGTGGTTGAGAGTCCGCCTGCCAGTGCAGGGGGCGCGGGTTCGTGCCCCTGGTCCGGGGGGATGCCACGTGCCGCGGAGCGGCTGGACCCGTGAGCCATGGCCTCTGGACCTGCGCGTCCGGAGCCTGTGCTCCACAACGGGGGCGGCCACAGCAGTGAGAGGCCCGCGTACCGCAAAAAAACAAACAAACAAACAAACAAAAAAACAGCACTGCACCATACGTCTTGGTGATGGGAATTGATATCTTTGTCGAATAGATTCCAAGAGGTAGAATAATGGGGTCATGGATAAAGCACATGTAACATTTTAGTGGCAACTGCCAAATTCTCCTTCCGAAAAGTCCTTCCAGTTTCCTCTCTCACTTGCAGTATATGGAAATGTAGGTTTCACACCCTTGCCAGTACTGATATTATTGTTAAAATGTGAATTTTTAGTCTGGTGAGGTGGGGGTGAATCATATCCTATTGTTTTATTTTGTATTTCTTTAAGTGTGTATAATGTTGAACATTTTTTCATGTGTTTATTGCCACTGGTATTTATTTTTCTTTAATTAGCCTGCTTATATCCTTTATTGATTTTTCAATTGTAGGAGATCTGTGCACTTTGGATGTTAATAATTTGTAATATATGTTGCAAATATTTTCCTCTCAGTGGATTGCTTATCTTTCACTTTTGTTTATAACATCTGTTTGCCAAAGGGAAGTTTTAAATATTTACAGAAGAATTTGTAGGAGTAGCTAGGGAATTTAAGTGGATTTAGACTGGTGATTGGGCTCTGTTTTAGCTGTTGTTCAAATGTATGCATATATATTATATGATGATTAATAAGCCTTTTAGAAGTTAAACGATTCATGGGCACACCTATTTCTTTGTATTTCCTCAGTTGGCGATGCTAAAAGTCCAACTATTATTTTGTAGGGAGTTCCAAATTGGGAACTCTTAGAGACTGGCGACCACTGACCCAGAAGATGGACTTACATCTGTTTATAAATAATTGATAAAGTGTATGAACCAGGACTCATTTCGTTGAAAGTAACAGAAACCCAACTCACACTAGCTGAAATAAGACGACTTTCTCGACTTACAGAACTGGAACATCTAATGGACACTTTGACCACATCTGGACCCAGGGACTCAAAGGGTGGATGTCCTCAGGTCTTCCTTCCTCTTTCTGATAACTCTCTTCATTTGTTCGTCTGGCTTATCTCTACTTAGCCTCATTTTCTTCCACTGCAGAGGCTGCCCATGAGCGACAGATGGCTGGGGCCGCCCCAGGTTTCCATTCTTAGAGATCAGCGTCCAGGAGAAAAGGAGCCCCTTTCCCCACGTCTGTAGTGTGCCTCTCTCAAGGAGGCAGGACGATGTGATTGACAGTTCAGCTGAACCACATGAGAGGGAAGGAGTGGTTCACCAACAGAAAGAGCAGTAGATGGACAAACAGAACAGATTGCAGGGCCCACCCATGATATCCAGCAGACAGTGGGGGAGAACCTGGTCTGGAGGCAGAGGGGTGAGTTTGGGATGGCTTTCCATCCACCATGTACACCTTGGGCAGCTGCCTCAGCCTCCCCTTGGATCCCTGGCTCTCTGCTCCGTAAAATGGTCTCTTGAGGATTAATGAGCGGATGCCTGTGCTTGGGCTCAAGGGCCCACAAAGTGCAAAGCAGATGATATTAAATGAGATACGTCAGACACCTGTCTATCACTTTGTAGGCACTCAATAGGTGATGGTTTTCCTCCTTAGTATTTACCAGAATTCAGAGGGTGTTCAGAACGAAGTAATCGGGTTGCATGAAGTTAGTGTGTAAGTTCTTCCTTTACCACCATGGGTGAGGCCCCCTCTCTCTGGGGGGGCCCACCTGGTGTTGCGTAGATAATTATTGATAAGGAAAGGATAATGGCATTGAGAGAATGAGGCAGGGCTTGGAGGGGGCTCAAGAAACAGTTGAAGCTGACTTTTTGCTACATTGAAGTCCAGCCTAATTCTGAGGGAGTGGATAGTTACGGTGAAAATCCAGCTGCCCTCTGGGCCCGTCTAGCTGGCCTGTGCACCCTATCCCCTACCCCTGCCCCCTGCCCAGGACCATGTGTGTCGTGACCTGCTTTGCTTTCTCTGCAGTCCACCTGATCCCAGTGTCGGCAGCTAGGAATGGAGTGACTAGCAAGAATCGAAAGAGGATCATGCCTGACCCGGTGACGGAGCCCCCCGTGATGGACCCCATTTACGAAGCCCTTTTGTACTGCAACATTCCACGTGTGGCCGAGCGCAGCATGGAAGGTAGGCCTGGCTGCGCTGCCCAGCGTGGTACCATCTTCAACCAGCATCTAAGGAGCTAGACGGCTAGGGCCCAAATCTTGCAGTTGCCACCAGGCTGTGTCCTTGAATGAGTTTCCAGGTCTTAGTTTCCTTGTCTGTAAAATAGGCATAACTTGCAGTCCCTACTCACAGGGCTGCTGGGAGGATTAAGTGACCTCTGAGCAGCACGAGGCTCATGATTAGCCCTCCACAAATGTTTGCCATCATCCTGATTATCAGTGAGACAGCAGTGGGATGGAAAGGTGGCCTTGGCTGGCCCTAGGGTGTCATCCTCAGCTAACTCCTTTCCCAGGCGGGCTGTCTCTGGGCTTAGGACACAGCATGCCCTGCTGGTGTCTTGAAGTGAAAGTGTAGGAAAATATGATTTCTATGTTGAGTTTTGCTTTTTTGAAAGTGTATCAAAGAATGATGTTGAATATTTATCTGTTTGTGGCCTGCTGTGTTTCACAAGAGGGAGATTTAAAGCAGAGGTCATTGTTTCCGGTACCTCTGTGGCCTCCCCTAGTCTGTGGATGTGCGCGAGGCTACATGAATAAGTCTTGTTTTTGCTTTACAATGTTGCGTTAGTTTCTGCTGCATAACAAAGTGAATCAGCTATATGTATACATATATCCCCATATCTCCTCCCTCTTGAGCCTCCCTCCCACCCTCCCTATCCCACCCCTCTAGGTGGACACAAAGCACTGAGCTGATCTCCCTGTGCTATGCGGCTGCTTCCCACTAGCTATCTATTTTACATTTGGTAGTGTATATATGTCCATGCCACTCTCTCACTTCATCCCAGCTCACCCTTCCCCCTCCTCGTGTCCTCAAGTCCATTCTCTACGTCTGCATCTTTATTCCTGTCCCGCCCCTATGTTCTTCATGACCATTTTTTTGTTTGTTTTTTAGATTCCATATATATGTGTTAGCATACGGTATTTGTCTTTCTCTTTCTGACTGACTTCACTCTGTATGACAGACTCCAGGTACATCCACCTCACTACAAATAGCTCAGTCTCATTCCTTTTCATGGCTGAGTAATATTCCATTGTAAATATGCGCCACGTCTTCTTTATCCATTACATGAATAGTCTTGCCCACATTTCACTGGAGGTCAGGTGACCCCCCCACCACACCCCAGGGCCTCCCCATGACTTCCAGGGGGCTGGGGCGTAAGCAGCCCTCTCACGTTCCTGTGCCCTGCCCTGTGAGGCTGGTCAGGGGCCTCCCACCCAGCACAGCACCCTTCCACCATGGTCACCCCTCCCCTCCTCTGCGAGGTCAAAGGGATGGACATCTCCTGGGTGATAACCAGACAGTGTGCTTCTCTCTCGCAGGTCACGCACCGCATCATTTTAAGCTGGTCTCGGTGCATGTGTTCATTCGACACGGGGACAGGTACCCACTGTATGTCATTCCCAAAACGAAGCGCCCAGAAATTGACTGCACTCTGGTGGCTAACAGGTAAATTGCAGTTTTCCTAAAAGTCATTTTCAAGAATCTGTTGCCTCTGTTGAAATGAAGAGGCTGACTGGAGAATTACAGAATCGGGGAGTGGCCTACACTTGTGCAGTGGGTACTGTTTGCCAGGAGTCTGATCTTCAGAACAATCCTGCAGGTGAATCCCATTTCACAGTTGAGAGGGCAGAGGCCCAGAGAGGTGAGAACACCTGCCTAAGGCCACACAGCAGATAAACTGAGATTTCAGCCCAGGCCAGCCTGCTATCTGCAGTCTCCCACCCTGCTATTCTTCAGTCTGGGAAACAACTGGGACGGGGTGCAGTGAGCACTGGGTTAGGAGTCCTCGGACCCTGGCGTGGCTGTTCCATTGAGGGGAGCAGGTAAGTCCCTTAGGCTCTCTGAGCCTCAGCCTTCTGTCTCTAAAATGGGGATGACGCTGCTGACTGGACAGGGTTGGGGTGAGGAATAAGTGGGATGATAAGGAGATGCCCATTACCAGTTGCAGAGCCACAACCGGAAGACATTTATTTCAACCTTTTCATTCTTCACAGGAGTAGAGACAGCCTGCCCTTGGTTGAGAGCCCTTACGATGAAAAATACTTGAAAAGAGAGTAGAAATTGTACATGCAGACATGGCATGGCTCTAAAATGAGAGGCACAGTTAGCAATAAAGTGATGGGCCAGGCCTCAGCAAATGTGTCAGGGGACGCATAACCTCCCAAGCAGAGTTTACTGAATGAGGAGAGGAGGCGGGGGAAGTGCTCTGTGGGGATGACGTTCTTTTGATGGAATGCCTTGGGTGCCAGCCTGCCCCGGGCAGCGCCAGCCTGGTGGAACCATGGATTGCCTCCCTGCAGCCAGGGCTGTCCCGTCACAGTGGACTGCAGTGTGGACCCGGGAATTCCAGGTTAACCCTTTGCATCTCAGCCTTCTTACTGTCTAATATCAAGGGGAAGATGAAGTAAACCATTTTATGTAAAAACATCACGAAATACCATGTGACTCTAGGCTTTCATTTCCTGCTGGAGGCCACGAACCTCGCAGCCTGGGGATTTACGTCTTCTTTTCTGTGTTCAGCAAGTATGGATGCATGTCCTTGTGTCCCATGAGCTGGGAAACACCCTGGGTGGAGTCCAGCCTGTGTCAGAGCACCGGGCAGTCCCTGGCTTTCTTCCTCGTCTCTAGCCCTCTGTGCTGGCCTTTCTCCTGGGACCCTCGGCCCCTGTCAACCACTGCCTGCCAGCCCCTCACCCTTCAGGCCTTTGCACCTGCCGTTTGGCTTGCTGACCCCCTTCCAAAGCTCCTTCAAGGCCCCCTGAGATGGTACGCCTTCTAGGAGGCCTCTCGCAGTGCGTCAGCAGGGATTCTCTGCTTGTATCAGGCGCTGCCACCGCCTCACTCAACCTGAAAAAGGGGGACGTAGGGAAGAATCTCAGAACAAAATACTTAACGACCAGACCTTAACAGGCTTAGGACTAGGCAAGGGTGGAGGTCACTTGCTGTGCTGGGTATTAACCCTTTAGTTTCTGGGCTGGAGCATCCAGGGTGGCAGGAGGACACAGGGAGGGCAGCTGGGGGGTGTGGCTTTGCTCCTTCGGGCGCAGCAGAGTGTCAGTGTGTTAACAACTGGCACAGTCCTGCCGTTGTACAGGACTTTGAACAGCCCAGGGACAGGCGGGCCACTAGGCCGCTGAGCTGGCCGGACCCAGAGAGCAGCCTCAAGGGCTTTGTGGGAGGTACCACGCTTCAGCCGGCAGCTCGCAGCTTCTGCCCCCCTTTCTCTGGCTGGGCTCCAGCTTCCCAGGCGTGAGAATGGGTCTGCCCCCGAGGCCAGTCTGCTGTTGCTGGAGCGGTCCCTGAGCACCGCGAGGCTTTGAGGGCCACCTGGCTGTTCCCAGGGAAGGGCCCAGTGGGCAGGGCCGCTGGGCGGCGTGCAGGCCTCCAGTGGGCGTGCTGGCGCTCTATGACTTGTCCTCCCAGCATCGTTGTCTGTGCTCTGCCTGCACCACCGGCCCCTCAGGGCACTGAGTCTTATACCTTCCATATCACTGGTGCCCAGCCCGAGCCTGGCATGTAGTAGTTGTTGGACTGGGTTGGTTGCAGAACGAATTCAGGAGCCCAGTGAGAATCACAGGTCATCATTGCCTATCATGTATCTATCATAGGAGATTTGAGTCTTGACCATGAAATCCTCTGAGGCCTTTGTCACCGGTTTGATGTAGGGCAAATCCCTTCACCTCTCTGAGCCTCAGTATTCTGTCCGAGAGCATGCGGATAGTAATACGGTAAGTCCCCTGCATACAAACAAGTTCCATTCTGAGAACGCGTTTGTAAGTCCAGTTTGTTCGTAAGTCCAACAGAGTTAGCCGAGGTACCCAAGTTTTACAGATGACACCAGACACGTGAACTAACTTACGTGATTGGGCATGCGAACGTATGTTCGCATCTTTGAAAGCTTTGGAGGTTCGTATGTAGGGGACTTACCGTACCTCCCCTAAAACATCCTCGTGAAGTCTACCAAGGTGATGGAATAAAGCGCTGAGAGCCTGGTCCCCACTGAGAGCTTGAGAAATGGTGTTTCATTTACCAAAGCAGCCTGGAATCTCCCAGGCCTGGCCTCTTTTCCTCTCTGAGTGGTCGTGGTCACAGGGCCAGGTCGGGTCCCGGGGTCCCTCGTTCTGCCACAGCCCTGACGGGGCCAGTTCTGGAGCTCCCAGCTGAGAGGTGCAGTTCCTGGGGACCAGCTGCCCCAGCTGCCTCTGCCTCATTTCCCCCTGGCCTTGGTCTTTTGGTCTAGTTCTATTTCATACAAATACATTCTGTATTTTTTGGAGCTACTTTCAATCCTTTATAGAAAGTGGGTGGAGTATGCATGTTTAATTAATTGATGGCATTTAATGAATTCCATCTTTTATAACAATAAAAGTTGACTTGTCATTATAAACGCACATTTAGTGTAAGAGTGAGCAGGACCCCCAGCTAAGGGGACCCACTCTGGGCCTCTGAACCCCCTGGGACTGTGGAATCTGGGTCACCAGCTGTGCCTGCTGCCTTCCCAGGTGCCAGTTCGGCTTCACGAATTATTAATTGTTATGGCCTCCTCAAAGGCGGAGCGTCCTGAATTGTGCCCATTACTCCCGTCTGGTGAAGGACACTGTCTGGGCCGGCGGCGGGCGTGCAGTGAGCTGAATCAGCAGGAGCCGGACACCCCAGTGTTTCCCTTCCTAAGGACACCTTCCACGACTCTCAGAGTCTTTGTAGTGGAAGCTGCCTCTTCGTGAGTAGTCGTGGGGCTCAGGAACATTGTCTGGCCGGGAGGTAGAGGTTGACTTGAGAGTTTAGCATGTAGATGGCAGCCGAAGCTGTGGACTTGAACGGTATCACATACAGAGCCTCTGGAGTGAGGTAAGGGCCAAAGACAGAGCCCTCTAAGAGCACCAGCCAATTACAGCACAGAGAGAAAGGAGGGTCCCAGGAGGAGATGGAGAAGCTGCAACAGGAAGGAGGCAGGAGAGTGATGTTATGAGAGCTGAGGAAGCAGAGTTTCAGGAAGGGGGAGGGGGTGGGTAATCACATCAAACAGGGCGAAAAGGTCCAGAAAGCTAAAGACTGAGAAAGGTTATTATACTAAGTTTATCTTTTTAGAATTTCGTTTTATTAATAATATAAAATAATAAATTCTTTAATTAGCATAAATTGTAAAAATCCATGCTATGAACTTGTTATGGTTTCTAGCCGTATAAGCTTTTTTGAATTGTGTTTCCTGGTAACAGTGTCACTGGTCTTATATCTCTTCTCTGCTTGTCTTAATGATCTGTACGGAACTCAGTAGTTGCTCAGATTATGGCTAAAGCACAATAAGTTTTCTTACAGGTGTGTAGATGAGCTTGGGGTTCCATGAATGCTTTGTGGCATAAGTAGGTGTGAAAAATGCATATAAAAATGTAAACAAGACCTCTGAAGTGAATGGTTTGAAGGCTTAAGATGGTAGCACTGCTGGCTCTTTCCATTTTCAATATGAAAATAGACTTCCAATGAGAATACAGTAACGTGGATTTTTCCCGAAGAAAAATTCATCATCACAGATATAATCATTTCTGTGTTGGTCAGGGTAAGGCTAGGCTGCATGCTGTTATAATAAAGAGAACCAAGGAGGAATTCCCTGGTGGTCCAGTGGTTAGGACTCGGCACTTTCACTGCTGTGGGCCTGGATTCAGTCCCTGGTCCGTGAACCATAAGCCGTGTGGTGCGCCCAAAAAGTAAAAAAGAGAGCCAAGAATGCATTGCCTTAGATAATAGAAGTTTATCTCTTGCATGAAGGTCTGAGATGAGTGTTCCAGGTTGTATAACTTGGCTTTACCTGGTCATTCAGGGCCCCAGGTTCCTTCCAGGTTGTTGCTCCCACCGTGCCCTAGGCATGTCTACGTGACTGAACCTGGGTTGCTGCAGTGCCTGAATAGTGGCCAGAAGGAAGGGAGAGAGTGTGAAGGGGGCACGCCCGTGATCTGAAAGCCTAAACACAGACTGGCATACATCCTTCCATTCCACTGCAGAATACTTAGTCACATGGCTCTGCCTGACCACTAGGACTTCAGAAATGGGCTCTAACCAAGTTCCCAAGAAGAGGGGAACAGATTTTAGTCTATAGCTGTTAAAGAAGAAACAGAGCCAGAGAACAGATAAAGTAGTAAAAACAGATCTTATCCAGGAGTTAACGCAGAAGGGTAGCACCGGACTCAGTTCCAAATACAGCACGGACAAGTGGGGTTTTATAGCCAAGGAGCAGGGTGTGGGTCAGTGGATGGGGAATTACTATGAGGAGACATCAGGGGTCAGGGGGGTTCTGGCTAAACTCACTCCACAGGATTCTTGCTGAAGGCAGACCAGGGTTATCAGGTACCACCGGGGGTGAGGAATTTGATCACGTACCAAGGGTGATCAGATATCAAAAGTGGGAGATTCTGGCTAAACAGACTTAGCAGGATTTTTGCTGAAAATGGGCAATGCAAAGACAGATACAAATCCAAAGAAAATGAAAGTCCAGAGGTCAGGGCTTGGTTGGGAAGAGGGTTCAGAGGAGACGAAAATTTGGTCAAAGAGAGTCTCACTCACAACAGCCTTTATTTTTAATATTTCCATCAAAATCTGGATACTTTAATAAACACTATGGGAACTTGCCATATTCATTGCTACAGATTAAGAAGGCTTGGACTTCTCTTGAAGCATCGAAGGTTGGGGCACTTCCCAGTTGAAATCATTTCCTTGTGCTTCTGAGGTATTTACCATGTGCTGGGTACCCTTTCTGCTGCAGGGATGGAGCAGTAGATGCAGTAGGCGGGACTAATCTCGGGTGGCTTTGGCTGTGTCAGCTTGAAGTGGGAATCTCAGTTGCCTGACCAGGGATCGAACCCAGGCCACAGTGCTGCCCTGGGTCTTGTCTGCTTTGAAGAAAGAATTCAGCAAAGAGACAAAAAGTAGTGAGGCAAGTAAAGTGTTTATTAGGAGAGAAGATACGCGCGGAGAAAGCACGGGCGGGCTCAGAGAGAGAGAAAGAGAGAGCCGTGGGCTTTTGGGGTGGGTTAAATCACTTATATGGAGGCAGTTCTGCGTTTCCAATCATCTTGCTTTGTCTGGCTTTGAGTCCATATCTCGTCTGGCTCAGGGCCCTACCCTGGGCGCACGTGCATCTTTTAGCCAAGATGGACTCGGGCGCTAGGTTCCCTGAGAAGTTGACAGAACACATTATGGTCTAGCACCCCCTCCCCTGAGGATCCTTTCTGCACAGGCGTAGCTTGGGGGTCTCCTTGACCTCCAGAATGAGAAATATGTGGTCTCTTTATCTTTTATCTCGGCAGAACTCAGCTCCTCCTGGCTCCGCCATTGTCTTTATCTTGGAGTATCTGTCCAAAGGGGACAGACTTCAGCTGCTCTGCCTGGGGCCCGTCTGTCTCCTGCCTCAGGGTCTGGTCATTCAGATCCAGGACAGGCCCAGGGACTCAGGTTACCTGGTCCTTTTCCTGATTAAAAGTCTTTTGTTACTCTGTTCCGTAAGTGAAGTTTTTCTTCCACGAATCGTCATCTTTCCATATCAAAAACAAGTTTCCATGAATACAGTTAGATATTAATGCACCATTAAGGAGTCAGATTCCCTGAAAACTTTCAGTAGTGAAATTTCATTTCTAAAACTGGTAGCAAAGCTTTTCTTAGATCCTCAAACATCACCAACCTGAAATAATGGCCTGGAGCAGAACATTTGACTCCTGTTGATGGATAGCCTTTGTTTATGTGGATTTGTTTTGGCAGCCTCATTATCAGTCTGGACATTTTATTTCACAGTTTGTAAATATTTATGTGTTTTAGCCTCAGGGAGAATAACACAGTCTCTGTTTTTATGGAAATCCATAATGCCCTATAGCAATCCAGGGTGATTTATTAGACTATATACTGTATGTCAGGATTAGCATTCTCTAATTTTAAAACGTATTTCTGGAATGGATTTTTTTTTAGCTTTATGTTTTTGAAAGATAAACCCATTTTGGCAGCCATTGTAAAAGCATTGCCAAAGTTAATTAGGCCTTCAGACGGGAGGTGGGGGGGTCTGCCATTAAACAATTTATCTTTGCTTCTTTTTGTGCTGATTTAGTTTAGTTGGGAACTACTCTATCTGTCCACCTCTGTTCAGCTGGAAATGTATAAACGTTCATAGGCCATTTCATTATTTAAAGAAAAGGTGTGTGTACTCATAGGTCATCTCATTATTCAGAGAAAATGTGTATATATTCATGGGTCATTTCATTATTCAGGGAAATTGTGTATTAGTGACTAGAACAATAAATCTTGATTTACCATGTGTACTTCATGGCAGAAATATAAATAATGTCAGATCTCATAAATAACCTGGTGTGTTGTGTTTTTTTTCCCACTATTCATCCCCACCCCACATGCAGTGAGATACCATATGTGCAAAATGCATAGTGAGCTGTAGAGAACTGGGTTATCTTAATCAGTTAATTTTCTTCACAGGAGATTTTCCAGAGGTCACATAAAGTTAAGGATTAAGGGTTACCCCAGTGAAGGTCGGGATGCATTTTCTAGGAGGAAGAGGCAGCATGTGGAAAGTCTTGGAAGCATGAAAGAACAGGTGTGCAGGGCCCACAGAAGGCAGACGCTGTGCGTGGCCAGAGCACAGCATTAGGGAGCCTTGGGCCTCAACGTGAGGCAGAGCCAGGATAGACTGACGGCTGTGCGTGGCTTCTTGGGAAGGTGGCACCGTGGAAGAGCAGTGACAGTCGGGGTTGCCTTCTATGTCGACCTCACTGGCTGTGGAGGAGGCAAGATGTGACTGCAGGCAGGCCAAGGAGGGGCCCATGCCATCCAGACAAAAGCTGACCGAGGCAGACCCTGCTCAGGGATGCAGGGATACAGGAGAGAGGGGCAGAGAAGCCCAGGAGGACACATGTGCAGGGCGCAGGGGAGGGAGAAATCGAGGAGGACCCGCAGCCTCGGCTTGGCTGCCTCGGGTCGGGGGGTTGATGGCCTCCTGGAGGGGGAGATAGGAGTGGGGCGGCCTGGGGAACCAGGTGGATGAGGTCAACGCTGACTCCCACGGTGCTGAGGATGATGGGCACTTCGGTGGAGGGCGGGGTCTCGGGCTGGCCTTATGGAGTGGGGATTTTATGTGTAGGTGGCAGCGGGCAGGTAATCTTGAAACTGGAATGTATTATTATTGTGGGTGAGAAAGGTCTTGGCTCACTTGGGATCCTGCTTGCTGAGGCTGAAATCGTCACGGACGGTTTTGGAGCACGCCAACCACTAACTCTCTCTGTGTTGTCTCTTTAGGAAACCGTATCACCCTAAACTGGAGGCTTTCGTGAGTCACATGTCCAAAGGATCTGGAGCCTCTTTCGAAAGCCCCTTGCACTCCCTGCCTCTTTATCCCAGCCACCAGCTGTGTGAGATGGGAGAGCTCACGCAGACAGGTATGTGGGGCTGCCCCTCCCCTACTCAGTCTCCCACCCGCTCTTGTATTCGGCGGACTCGTGTATCGGGACCTCCTGGGAAAGACGCTGTGGGCGCAGGGGTGAGTAGGGCCAGCATCTCAAGCAGCTGTATGCCCACCAAGGTGTATGATTCAACATGTGATTTCTAAATATTAAAAATAAGCTTTTGGGCTTCCCTGGTGGCGCAGTGGTTGAGAGTCCGCCTGCCGATGCAGGGGACGCAGGTTCGTGCCCCGGTCCAGGAAGATCCCACATGCCGCGGAGCGGCTGGGCCCATGAGCTATGGCCGCTGAGGCTGCGTGTCCGGAGCCTGTGCTCCGCAACGGGAGAGGCCACAACAGTGAGAGGCCCAGGTACCGCAAAAAAAAAAAAAAACAACCTTTTTTCTTATTACAAAAACTATATATGTTCATGGAAGAGAAAGCAGGAAAGACAATTAAGCAAAAGGAAGAAAATTTAAAGCACTCATAATCCCACCAAAGAAATTAATCATCTTTCTTCCTGTGTTTATATCTGCATGCACTCGTGGGCGTGCACACACACACACACACACACACACACACTCATTCTCACAGGTGGTATCTTCCTAAACACTGTCTTGTAACCTACTTTTTCACTTAACAATATATTGGGATCATCTTTCCCTATCAATGAATGTTCATCAACAGCGTCATTTCTGACAGCTGCATATTATTCCACTATGAATGGGCCATGATTCATGTAACCAGTCCCATGTTCTTAGCTTCTTTAGACAAAACAGCTGAAAGGTTTTAATGCACCAGATCTCAGGGAGACACGCATAGGGCAGAGCCCCACTGAGCATGGAGTTTGTCTGGCTTGTGTGTTCCTCAGAGAAACCCATCTCTCCCTCCGCAGCCCTGTTCATACTGTTGTGCTGCCAGTTCACTGTCAGCGTAGGTTGGTGATTTAACAGTGGGGTCACCTTTGTCGGTATGAGAAGGAACTGGTGGTCCCCTAAGAGGTTCCAGCTTCCTGCTTCCTCAGTCTGGGACCTTAAAGGACTTTTGCGTCTTCTACCAGCCTTTCTGGAGGAATCAAGGCGACTGATTGGCCACGTTCTGTTTCTTGATCCACCAGCATCTTAGGACCTCAGCTTTGATGGAAGGAAGGTCTCTGTCCTGTACTTGGCCCTGTTGGTTTCGCCATGTTTTGAAAGCCATTATTATTGGGGATACTGAGTGTGACAGAGTGGGGCGAGCTTAAGTCTCTGGAGGACTAGCCTTGAATAAGGAGTCTTGTCAAAAGCTTTTGCTAATTAGTTCACGTGCACAAGCTCTGCACTCGTTTAAAACAGGAATTCTCCTCCTACCAGATCCAGCACCCCCTTTATTAACAAGTGTTTTGTGGTGCTCCCTGAACTATCCTGAAGTGAAATTCGAGTATAGCTTTTCTATATACATAATTTTATAAAACAGTTATGTCAGGCACCCCAATTGTAATATGAAGTAGAAACAACAGGAAACTAATTTATTATATAATTCTGTATATCTCAGTATAAATGCCTGAGCGCACCTTTGTTAGAAAATAGGATGAAATAATCAATTGCTTGCACTTCAGTGTAGACTGACGTGTGTGACAGCTACAAATGCAGACTGATCAAGGGATGTGTATTGGTGACTCTGCTGCTCTGTGTCAGGACATGATTTTTTTTGACAAGTTGTGATCAAAACAAAAGACAGGTGTCCCTTAATTTATATTGCATTTCTGGAAAATTCAGTGGATGTTAATGTTACGCAAAAATGGTTTTGTGTTTATAGACACAAAAAACCAGATTTGAGATTGAAGTATTTAAACAGGGTTTTCACATGAGGGAATGTCTTACACATTCAAAAGTTACGTGGAACAGAACACAGTTCCTTGTGAAGACTGTCTGGCCCTTGGACCCCACCCACGAGGGATCAGGAACGTGCTTCCCCATATTGGAAATTTCACATCACTGTTAGAATCATCATTTGTAAGTGGCACACTTTGGGCACCCCACAGGAGCTGTGTAAGATGCGACTGATCATAAGTGCCTACTCTGTCCCAGATGCTTTGGCAGCTGCCGCATGTAGGGGTGGCGGGGCGGGGGGGGTGGCTGGATGACTGAGATGCTGTCCTAAAGGAACCTGCGGCTACAGTGGCGCAGCGCATGGAGACCCCTGAGGGTGTTGGTGCGGGTCGCAGGCTCTTACAGAGTAAACACGGGTTCTGGAGTAGACAGACCTGTGAAACGGGGCTCATAATAGCATCTTCCCGACAGCGCTGGTGGCAAGCTGCAGTAGACAGCATGTGTAAAGCGCCCAGCACAGTGCTAGCGTATGCTAGGCTCAATGTATGCAGCTGTTGCCTTAGCGGTCCCGCGGCCTGTGCAAACAGGAGGGAATGATTAATTGGACCTCTGGGGAGCGAGGGAGGAGGAGGGAGACAGAGAAGGTAGTATTGGAGCCAGGATGAGGATTTCACTGGGAAGAGAAAGGGAAGGGCGTGAACAGAGGCATGAAGATGCAGGCCGTGTTTGGAGAGAAGGAGAAGCCCTGAATGGGTAGTGTTTCTGCGGGAACATGTAGGGAGGAGGTGATGTGAGCACAGGGTTGGGCCGGGGCAGGGGCTGGAGTTCTGTGAATGGCTCGGGCCTCAGTTTCCTCATCTGTAAAATAAGGAAAAGGGGGATAATGATAATATGCCTTCTTTGCTGGGTTTTTGTGAGGATTAAAGGAGAAAGGTTGGCACATAGTAAGCGCGCCAACCTTAATGTACATAGCCTCAGAATACAGGGTAGGCCCAGAGGGGAACGGGGGCAGACACAGATTCTGGATGTTTGTCGCTCATGGCTGGTCCCTTTATGCGGGTCATTTGGAAACGCGACGACCTGCCCCAGCCCAGATCTCTCAGGGAATTCTGCTGTCAATACTCTTCATTCAAAGTAGGACCTAGACATCCTTTTTTTTTTCCCTGAGCTGTTCCCCTTCCTGGGCCAACACCGTTCTCTCTGTCTCACGCATTTCAGCCTGAAGTTGTCTCATCTTTGTGGTGGGGCTTTTCAAACCATTCGGGCATCTGAATAAGTGGCATTACTGGTGATAGGGCCTGCCTGTGATTGACACTCTCAGAGAATGCAGATCTTGCACTGAAATTCCATCCCAACATCCTATTGGCTGCAGGATGAGCTTGCTTTTATCTTGGACCGCCTTCTCCTGCTTGAAGATAAGACTTTTGCAGTTTTTTCCTTTTTTTTTTCAAGATACTATACTGTGGTATAGTTCCTGTATGTAGTTCGAAACTATGACAACTAAAGGGTAAACTTAAAATTCACGCTCCTACCTATGTTCCACCTCCCCCCCCATTTCTGTGCCCCCATCATCCCCAGGTAACCATTGTGCATCCTTGCAAAATTTTTCTATGCAAAACACAGGCAGCTGCCAATACACGTTCTTATTTTCCCCTCATTTTTATTTAAAAGCAGCATAATAAACATACTGTTCTGCAGTTTGCTTTTCTGAGTATCTGGGAGATCATTCCAGATCCATACAGAGACAGTATCCTTGCTGATGAGCAGGTAAAGCCCTAGCAGGATTGGGCAGAGTGTACCCAGAAGGTGAGCAGAGAGCCTTCAGCTGGAACAGTAGGGAGGATGGTGTGAAGGAGGGGACGTCCCCAAAGTGAGGGGACTAGGCAGCCAGCAAGTGACTTGTTGTTCTTGCCTGACAGATTTCCATGAACTCCCCGGGCACACTGAGGAATGATTCGTCCCAGGGCAGGAGGGAGAAAGCTCTCCTTAGGCCCCTGCCAGTTACCTCCTAGACGTCCACCAGTGCGATGGTTCCTACCCTCTGAGCCCCACCAGTCACAACCCTCCTCCAGGGGAGGGACCAGTCAGAAGGGAGGAATCAAGGCAGATAAATGGTCCTTGTGCTTCCCAGAGAGGCGTGGGTCCAGAGGACCGGGCCCCTCTCTGCTCGTCCCTTTGTGGGTAACCCTGAGGGGCTCCCTTTGCACGCTGACGTGAGCCCGTTCTCGGGGCTTCCACGCACTGGGGGCCAGGCTCGAGGATGTAATCGTTCGCTGTCTAAAGCATTCCAGAGTTGGACGGGCCTCGACTCCCCGTGCTGTTCCTTTTGCTAAGCTGGTAGCAAGGCAAGCGTGTGGCACTCTTGTGTTTCAGGGGTTGTGCAGCATCTGCAGAATGGCCAGCTGCTGAGGGACATCTATCTGAAGAAACACAAACTCCTGCCCAGTGACTGGTCCACAAAGCAGCTTCACTTAGAGACCACTGGCAAAAGCCGGACGCTGCAGAGTGGGCTGGCTCTGCTTTATGGCTTTCTCCCAGATTTTGACTGGAAAAAGGTTTATTTCCGGCACCAGCCCAGCGCTCTGTTCTGCTCTGGGAACTGCTACTGCCCGCTGAGGAACCAGTACCTAGAAAAGGAGCAGCGTCGGCAGTACCTGTTGCGTTTGAAAAACAGGCAGCTGGAGAGGACCTACGAGGAGATGGCCAGGATCGTGGACACCCCCACCAAGCAGCTCCGGGCCGCCAACCCCATAGACGCCATGCTCTGCCTCTTCTGCCACAACGTCAGCTTCCCCTGCACCAGGAATGGCTGTGTTAACATGGAGCACTTCAAGGTGATCAAGAGGCATCAGATAGAGGACGAGAGCGAGAGGCGGGAGAAGAAACTGTATCTGGGGTACGCGCTCCTGGGCGCCCACCCCATCCTGAACCAGACCGTGGGCCGCATGCGGCGCGCGGCAGAGGGCCGGAAGGAAGAGCTCTTTGCTCTCTCCTCTGCTCACGACGTCACTCTGGCCCCGATTCTCAGTGCCTTGGGCCTTACAGAAGCCAGGTTCCCGAGGTTCGCGGCCAGGTTGATCTTTGAGCTCTGGCAAGACAGAGAGAAGCCCGGCGAGCACTCCGTCCGGATTCTCTACGACGGTGTCGATGTCACGTTCCACACCTCGTTCTGCCAGGATCACCACAAGCGGTCTCCCAAGCCCATGTGCCCCCTCGAAAACTTCGTCCGCTTTGTCAAAAGGGACATGTTCGTGGCCCTGGGTAGTGGTAGCACTAATTATTATGACGCGTGTCACAGGGAAGGATCCTAAAAGGTACGTGGTGTAGCGCTAACAGAATCTATGCCAATACAGAGGGATGGGAAAGGTCTGCTTCTAGTTCCTTTGGTTGCTAAGGGTACAAGGTGATTTTTAAAGGCCGGAAGTCATGCTTGGGGGCCACACGGATTTAGGGCTGAACAGTGAATATGTTGCTGTAATTGGGTACTTGAGTTACTTGGTACACAATGGCCAGTTCACAGAGAAAGGAAGGTACTTTATCATAGCCAGACTTTGCTTAGGATGCCAGAATAATGCTTCAGTACCCAAAGCTGCCAATCCACATATGTGTTCTTTTGATCTGCCTTGGTACTGTATGATGGAACCAGCAAACCTCAGCCAAAAGTTTCTTAATCTGGGACAATCTCACCTTGTCCTTGTTCAGTGAACAATTTCCTGAAGTGATTTATCTAAAATAGGGGTAGGCAAACTTTTTCTGTAAAGGGCCAAATAGTAAATATTGTAGACATTGTGGACCAAAAGGCCACATATAGCGTCTGTCACAGCTACTGGATTCTGCTCTTGTAACTTGAAAGCAGCAACAGACAGCATGTGAATGAATAAACATGGCTGTGTTCATAGGCCGCACAGAACAGGCACTGGGCCAGGTGTGGCCCGAGGGCTGTAGTTTGCTGATCCCTGTTCTAAAAGCTAGGCTCTACTACAATTGCACTTTCAGCACTTTGTGAGAGAACCAGTTGAATACCCAGAATTATTCAGTGGTGCCTCCAGTAACTTCTGCTAGAAACACAGAATCTGGTCTGTATCCGACATTATAACAAAACTTGAGGGGAAATAAACATTGAATCAAAATGAATCATAGAAAAATTATTAGAATAATACTTGATGTTCATGATGATTATGGTATAAGATAGTTCTGAGTATGTCTTAAATATTTGTCTGCTGTAGTCTGTTTGCTGTACATGTTGAAATTTTTGTATTCCATTTAGTATTTTTATAGCCTAGGAAAATATTTTCTAAGACCAGTTTTAGATGTGCTCTGATTCCTATGAAATATTCAGTTTATTGTATCTGCTTGGGGGTTAGAAGGGAGCCAGAAGCTGAATTCAGGCACTTTCTTCCAATAAAACTAATTATGGCTCATTGCCTTCGACAAGCAGTAGAATTGGATCGATTTTTAAACCATTTTCGTGTTTCAAATGGTACATTCGAATTGAGTTTTAAATAAGTTTTTGGAAGAACTTTGTTACTAGATAGTTAAATAATCTTTATAAGGTATTTTATATATTGGAAGCAATTATAATTAAATCTGTGATTTCTGACTAAAATGGTGCTAGTTCTGTGCGAAGAAATATAAAGTGAGATTCCCCGATGTCGCTGGTATTCCAGCCTTTTCTCTTTGTTTTTTGTCCAGTGTTGCATTTGAATACATCCGTTTCTGTTAATAAATTTTTGAAGATTACTCGTACACACAACTCATGGTTTGTACCTGTTAAGTCACTCTATTTCCTTTCAAGTGAGTTCATATGTTTTTTAATTTATCTTTTTTTAAATAAACAAAAGCATTTTAAATTAGAAAGCTCTACAGCAGGGGTCCCCAACCCCCAGGCCACAGACCGCAGCCTGTTAGGAACTGGCCGCACAGCAGGAGGTGAGCTGCGGGAAGGCGAGTGAAGCTTCACCTGCTGCTCCCCATGGCTCCCCATCGCTCACATGACCGCCTGCACCATCCCCCATCCCCCCACCCTGCCCGTGGAAAAACTGTCTTCCACGAAACCAGTCCCTGGTGCTAAAAAGGTCGGGGACCGCTGCTCTACAGTACACGTGGGTAAGGGAGGGCCAGGCCCCAGCCTAGTGTGGCCAGCCACAGGCCAAGCTGGGCCCTCAGGGGTGATGGGAAGGGACAGCAGTCCTGCACTGGGCCACAGAGGGGCTGCAGCTTCCTTCTCTGACAGCAGCATCAGGGCTCGGTGGCCAAGAGGATGTGTCACAGCTGGTGGCCTTGGACTGGGTGAAAATTTATCCCCAGAGGTGCTTTCTTTTTTTTTTTTTTTTTTTTTTTTTTTTTTTTTTTTGTGGTACGCGGGCCTCTCACTGTTGTGGCCTCTCCCATTGCGGAGCACAGGCTCCGGACGCACAGGCTCAGCAGCCTTGGCTCACGGGCCCAGCCACTCCAAGGCATGTGAGATCTTCCCGGACGGGGGCACGAACCCGTGTGCCCTGCATCGGCAGGCGGACTCCCAACCACTGCGCCACCAGGGAAGCCCCCAGAGCTGCTTTTATTGCTGAAAATTGTGTGTTATCTCTCGAGTATTTAAAGCCTAAGCAGGGTTTTTTTCGTTGTTTTTCCCACTCACAATCTATCTGAATCAGAACTGCTAAACACAGCTTGAAGATTTAAAAATAAAGGTGAATCAGAAAATGTTTTAAAAATCAGTTTGCAACATCTGTTGGTAAAGGTGGATATTTTGCATAATAGCCAACATTAAAAGTGTAGATAGAGGTTTTGCCTCCCAAGACATTGGGTATGCATGGCATTAAAGTATCCTCCTCAATATCAACTTCTGAGACATTTCATTTCCATAAACAAACACTGAGCACGCAGCTGAGGTTTCCTTTAACAATATGTCTTTTAGATATATTTCTCATTAAGCTGCTTCCCATAACAGTATATCTTGGAGAGTTCCACATTGAGAGAGGGTGGTGGGGCGGGAGAGAGAGAGAGAGAAAGGGAGAGGGAGAGAGAGACAGTGGGGGGGAGGGGGGAAGAGAGAGAGAGGGAGAGAAAGAGGGAGGGGAGAGTGGGGAGAGAGAGATGGAGAGAGAGAGGAGAGAAAGAAAGAGTGGGGGGGAGACCGGGAGAGAGGGGGAGGGGGAGAGAGAGAGGGAGAGAGAGAGGGAGAAAGAGAAAGAAGGAAGGAAGGAAGAAAGGAAAAGAAAGAGAAACGAAAAGGAAGGAAGAAAGGTAAGGAAGGAGAAAGAGAGGTGGGCAGCTCTGGGCAGCTCTTTTATAGCTATAGGCATAATTCATGATTTCATGATATAGATGAGACATATTTTTAAGTTTTCATTAAAAATGAATGAAATTAAAATGTAACACCAAGGTACTAAGGACTACAAGGCTTTTGAGGTACACGGAACAAAGTAGAGAGACCAGCGATTGTATGTGTTGATTAATATGAGTACATATTCTTTCTCTAAATTCACTTAGAAATAGAAATGAAGAACTTAACCCAATATTGCTGTTAAGTCTATTTGAGGGTCTTTGTAGCTATAGCAGAATTAGATGTTTGAAAGATTTGAGTGATCCCTTTTTTCTAGAACTCATAGAGACTGACACGGGATAGGCAGGGATGTTTCCGTTTCTCTGAATCTTTAGAAAGCCATCTGGACAGATTGAGCAGTCTAAGCATGTTTAAACACAACATAAGTAGAAAGCGGAAGACAGCTGTGGTTCACGTTGTGGGTCGCGTTGATCGGGGCTCGCTCAGAGCTCTGGCCCGGGCACCAGTTAGCTCCCATTGCTCGAGGCCCCTGAACTGAGCGCTGGGTTGCGCCCTGGATAATGCCTGCCCAGTGGCCAGCTCAGGCTTGACACTTCATCAGAGTGTCCGGTCAGGCCTTCCGGGCCTGTGAAGCCCTACTGCCTGCTGAGAGTGGCCTTGATGAGAAGGTATCCCCGGGACAGCTCCTCCCAGGGCTGCAGAGCCCCTCATGGAGGGGTGGCCTGAGGCCTGGCTTCTGGAGAACTCAGGAGTAAAGGCAATATTTGGGGGGGTCCTGCTTCCCTCGGGGGGGCACCCCACAAGCATCTCTATCAATCTAACCCTCCGAGGGAGGTCCTATTACTCCTAGTTCAATGAGGAAACGGGATCATCGGGGTGAAGTCACTTTTCAAAGGAAGAGTCAAAGTGCAGATTCTAACGCAAGTTTACATGACATCAGTGAAACTTACAGCACATGGACTGTGACACACCGTGTCAGTGGCTTTGCTACACTCACTCAATCCTCCCAATAACCCCACAATGTACCATATTTGCTGGCGAGTATCAGTGAGTACTAAAATATAGTGGGATTACAACAGCTATAAATTTAAATCTAAATGGTTAGGAGAATATTCCAACTCTGCCTCTGACCAAAAACTGGTTACAGTTTTTGTTAAGAAAAAACTACTTACGTGAATAATTTTACAAACGCATTTTTGCAGTGATGTTATATTATACTCAGCCACTAGGGGGCAGCATCAAATATAATTGTTAGCCTTCGGGACCCAGTCTTCCATTTGTAAAGGAGGTAGGTATTTCGGGAAGTGTTTTAATAGGGTGACCAGCTGTCCTGGTTTGCCTGGGACTGAGGAGTTTCCCAGGATGCGGGGGTTTCAGTGCTAAAAGTGGGCAAGTTCCAGGCAAACGGGGACAAGTTGGTTACCCTAGTGTTACATGAGACACGCATTAGGTGGTACTGTCATTTCCACTTTTATAGAAAAAGAGAAGTGTGATGGAGTGAATTCTCTGAAGTTTCACACAGCTAGCTGTATGCAGCAGAGCTGAGGCTCAAAGATGTTGTCCATTAACCCAAAGGCCCATGTTCTTAAGCAGAATATGATTACGCATCTCTGAACCATCCAGGACTGTTTGGTCACATGCAAAAGAAAACTGTCTACAGTGATTAAGCAAATAAAACATTCAGTGGCTTTATTTCTCCAGTGGCTTCACCATGTCATCAGGAACCCAGGCTGCTATCTACATCTTACTGGCCAGAATGGGGTCCCGTAAGCCACTGCCACTGCAGAGAAGTCTAGGAAAGGGAGTATTTTCATTGGGCACATTGCTGTCTCAAGCAAATCAGGCCTTCTTAATAAGGAAGAAGGGGGAAAGTGGATACTGGTTAGAGAACCAGCAGTGACTGTCACATTCTCCAAAGCCACCCCTTAGAACTGAAGTGTGGTGGATGCTACCCTACCCAGATTCCCCACTCCAGGACTTCTTTCCCCAGTGGCTGGGAGTGTGCAGGCTGGCAGTGCCTCCTTCCCAGGCGGCCACATCCACTGACTGGGCAGGGCAGGGATTGAAAGACCTGGGGACAACCCTGAAGGGCCATCCCAGCTTTGGTGCTCCCCACGGGGTCTGTTGAGGCCTTGGGACTGCACTGCAGCCCATTTCTTCTGCCCCGTCCTGCTTCCTTCCCCTCCTTCACAGTGTCGACCCCAAGAACACTCCCCAGTAAACTTCCTACATCTACATCTGTCTCAGAGTCTGCTTCCTGGGAACTGAGCTGCAATGGAAGGCAAGCAAATCCTAGGGACTAAGGCCTCTGCTAGTC